TTTAGCACTTTGTTTCTTCCTTTTCTCATGTGGTCTTCATTTACCATGGACTCCTATTCCTTGTTCTCCCTCTCTGTTCTTGATCCAGCTGGGATCTTTCCCTCAACCCTCGCCCTTCATTACTCCCACTCATGTCCAGGTTGTTCATGTAGATCTCAGCCATTTCTCTGTCATTGGGCAATCCTCGTGTCTTTCTTGGAGTCCTGTTTTCTAGGTAGCCTCACTGGTGATGTGAGTAGCAGTCCAGTCATATTTCTTCCACATCTAGTATTCTCCTAAAAAAAAAAATAAAAAAGAAAAAAATGATAAAGTAAATAAACATCTGAAAAAAAAAAAACGAATGTGACCTCAGGTGCAAAGAACATGTGGCGGTTTTGAGAGTAGAAAACCTGAAATAATTATGATTGGAAAGAATATCTAAAAATTACAGCAAGAGTGACATGGTAGTGTTCACTTCGCATACCAGCACTGCATAGTGGAGACTGAAGAAATGAGAACCAAGTTCAGGACATAGGATAACCCTGTCCCAATAAAACCAAATAAAAAATTAATAATAATAATAATAAAAATACAACTACTTCTATTTGATATTGGATAACCAATTAGTGTCCTCTTCTCTAGGAAAAATTGTTTCTCCCCATATTCTCAAAAATAAAAATAAAGTAAAAAACTACAGCTCTTTCTGAATTAATGCCTACTTTTATTTGTATCTATAAGATAATTTCCTACAAAATTTACCGTCAGTCTTTTAGGTAATCATTAAATTGTCAGCCTGAACCTGGTCTGTTTCTAGAGTTCTATGTGCTGTGTTTCTGGGCTACTTCTAAAGCTCTGACACAGTTTAATGTGCTCTGTTTCAAATGGGGACCAGAGTTTCAGGCTCAGTACCAGACTTGTGTTAAGACTAAGTCTACACAGAACACTGTGAGATATCAATCTTCATTCCTTAGTAATGAAAATCTGGGTTAGACGTATGTACAATGACATATCGGTTCTTACAGAAAATATAAAAGTTGGCATTATAGGAGAAAAACAAAGTATATGACACTGGTTCTAAAAGAAATATTTGCGATATCTGTAATCCTCTGGATGGTTTTAGAAATCTTTGGCAAATATGTTTCATTTGTCAACTGGATGTTTCTAAAACGGAGAGTTTAAATTTATAAATATGTACATTTCTGTGTTCTGGGAGATTTATCTGTTTAACTCAAACACGGTACATTCAATTGGTATTTATATGATCCATGAAGAAAAATAGTAATAATAAATCAGAGTCCTTTAAAAGATAATGAAATGCTCTTAAAGCACTGGTAAATGTATATTTGATATAGCTTGATAATATTTATTATATCACAATGCATTTGACTGTATCAAATAATTCACAACTTGTCCTAGGGACCATATTTTAAAATTAAAATACTATAAATAGGAGAGATGGCTCAGCGGTTAAGAGCACTGGCTGTTCTTCCAGACGTCCTGAGTTCAATTCCCAGCAACCACATGGTGGCTCACAACCACCCATAATGAGATCTGGTGCCCTCTTCTGGCCTGTAGGCATACATGCAGGCAGAATACTGTATACATAAT